CAATAGGCAGCATACCACTTTGAGACAAAAGAGGGCCATTAGAGACCCAATGATCCGTCCAGAAATTAACAGAGTCTCCTTTGCCAATTCTCCAAATCAAACCTTTACCAAGAAGGGCAGAACCATGTAAAATGGCTCTCCAAGTGCTGGAACTTCCATGTTTACCTTGCAAACAACCATCCAAGACAGAGTGGCCTTTTAGATACTTCTCTTCGAAAATTTCAGCTAGCTAGATTTATGACAAACTTGCAAGGAGAGCTTGGTTCATAGCAGAGGTTTTTTTGAAGCCCAGACCACCAAGGTGTTTAGGTCTACACGCCAAATTCCACTGACAGAGGTGAACCTTCTGTTTTTTGTCACTTCCACCCCAGAAGAAATTACGATTGATGCGATCTAATTCCTCACAAATACTCATAGGCACTTTAACAGTTTGCATAGCATAAATGGGGATGGCCGCAGTAACAGCTTGAACTAGAGTAGCTCTACCAGCTAGGGATAGAAGCTTGCTTTTCCAAGTAGCTAATCTTTTTTGCACCTTATCTACCAGACCACAGTAGGTAGATCTCGTAATTCTAGAATGGAGCAGAGGCATCCCCAAATATTTACCAAGGTTATCAGTAAGGGGGGAACCACAAATGCTACTGATCTCATTGGCTAGCACTTTACAAGTATTAGGCCGACTTCTCAAAATTAACAGTTTGGCCAGAATTTTTACAGAAAAGATCCAGACTCTTCTTCATAACTCTAGCTTGGGAGTAGCTGGCTTCAGCAAAAAGCACCAAATCATCAGCAAAGAAAAGGTGACAGACATGAGGACCAGCTTGGGAAGATTTCACTGGTTTCCATCTTTTCTTGATAACAGCATCAACAATAATATGAGAAAGCTTTTCAATGCACAAAACAAACAGATAAGGAGACAAAGGGTCGCCCTGTCTGATCCCCCTGTTAGGCTTGAAGCAATCAGTAAGCTCCCCGTTAAGGCACACTTGGTATCTAACGGAAGAGACGCAGTCCATAATCAAACGAGTCAAATTAGTTGGAATATTCAACTCATTAAGCACATAGTGGATAAACTGCCAATTCAACCTATCATAAGCTTTAGACAAGTCGATCTTCCAAGCAATGAAACCTTTCTTCCCTTTAGAATTTTGGAATTTGTGCATTAGCTCTTGAGCAATGAGGATGTTATCTGTGATATGTCTCCCAGGTACAAAGCTAACCTGGTTAGGGCTTATCAACTTAGGCATAAGTGGCCTTAACCGAGACACAATAATTTTAGAAATGACTTTATACAGTGTACAACACAAACTGATGGGTCTGAATTGAGACATAGACTGAGCATTATCAACCTTTGGCAGTAACGTAATCAGCGTGTCGTTGAGGCCCTTAGGAATTTGACAGTTCTGGAAAGCATGGCAAACCAACTTGACAATGTCATTAGTACAAATATTCCATTGGTTTTGGTAGAAACCAGCAGGGAACCCATCCACTCCAGGAGCTTTGAGGCTACCAATATTAAATAAACTTGTTTTGACATCAGCTGGATCAATAGCTCTTGATAAGGCATTTACGTCTATATCATCCATTCTAGGAAAGAAATTAGGAATGTCCAAGGAAATAGGCATCACATGCTGTAGGGAAAAAAGATTGGAGAAGTAACTTACAGCAATATCCTCAATACCATCAGTCTCGACAACCCAATCACCAAGCTCATTTTTCAGCCTTTCAATTTTGTTTCTTCTTCTGCGAATAATGGTAGACAGGTGAAAGAATTTGGTGTTCCTATCACCGTCATGAATCCACTGGATTCTAGATTTCTGGTGCCAAAACGTGGCTTCTTGATCAAGCAAAGTATTGAAATCATCTACCAGAGATGCCTCTAACTTAGTTAGAAATCTATTAGGCCCCTCACATAGAGCCTTTTGAATACCTGCAATTCGAGCAAGCAGCTGGCGTTTTCGTCGTTTGAGATGACCAAAAATCTGGATATTCCACTGTTTAAGAGGTTCGACAAGGGCAGCAGACTTCTCGATGGCGGAACCAGAATTTTGCTCCTATAAATTGCCTACAAAATCCTTAAATTGATCATGTCTCATCCACATGGATTCAAACCTGAAGGGCCTTTTGTTGGGGGAGGCAATAAAGTGAGACTGTAGACAGATTTTAATAGGGTTGTGATCAGATTTGGTTCTAGGCAAATGCAAAACATGTGCCTCAGGAAACAAATTCCTCCACTTAAGATTACAGACAGCTCTATCAAGTCTTTCAAAAATCCTCTTATTAGTCCAGGTAAAACTAGGCCCAGAAATTCAAATCAACCATATCTTGCTCATCAAACCATTTCTTAAACCCCTTGATTCTGTTGTGGGGGGCACCCCCCAGCTTATCATCCACATGAAGCATCTCATTGAAATCCCCAGCAAGCATCCAAGGCATATCATGACAACCATCCACAAACCTGAGATAATCCCACAATTTATCTCTTTTAACTCCACAAGGCTTCGCATAAACAGCAGTGAACATCCAAGGGGGTTGTCCAGGCCAAGAAACACAGGCTGTGATAGCTTGGTCAGTGGTGCCCAGGATTTCCACACTGACTTTATTCTCATTCCACAACAGCCAGAGCCCTCCAGAGAACCCAATAGGGTCAATAATTTCAAACGAAGTAAAGCCTAAGGATTGGACCATAGAGAGAGCTTTTTGGCCACCAATCCGAGGTTCACACACAAACAGAATATCTAGATGATGACCATGAATTAAATCCATCATATTAGTTCTAAATTTTTTTGAGGCAGCGCCTCTAGCATTCCAACATAAGAGATTCATAAGAAAAATTCATAAAGGAAGGATCCCAAGGATCTTAGCACATTAATTACTTCCACAATCCATACCTTCAACAACAGTGAAGGAGTTGGGCTCTAAGTCTCCAATTGGAGAAATCAAATGTCTTGAATTCGGGTCCACAATCTCACTTGGGCTCAAACCAACATGAGCTTCGGATGCCAAAGGGTTGATTCCTTCCTCAATAGTATGTTCCTCCCCAATCTTCATCTCTGGTGTAGTTATATTAGGTGGTTGGTGTCCAAAAACATAGACACCCTTCTCTTTATAACTGTTTTCACCATTGATCCAGTGGTTCGATTGTTCATTCACAGTGAAGTGATGCCTTCGCTCACCATTTACTGGCGTTCTCTCAGTAACCAAACCCCCAGTCTCATTGTTGCTAGACTGCCTCCCAAATATAGCCCCTCCAGTCCTATTGTCGGGTTCCAAAGCAAGCTTATTAGAAATGTCGTTTAAAGCTGTCCTTGGACCATGAGGTTTGCTTTTAGCTTTTGTCCAAACTTTTTTCCCATTAGCCTCTCCATTTTTAGAAGTGCCAATATGACCATAATTGTGCTTTCCGAGATTCACATCAGTGGCCACTCCATCAATCAGAGAGCCTTCACCCACAGTTTTTAAAACATCGAACCTAGACCCAAAGTTACCACCTCCAGTTCCCTTGTTTCCCATATCCTTCGCCACATGTTTAGGCTTCCTTCTAACAGGTACATTCATCCAAGGGCCTCTCAAGTTTTCAGTACCACAATCGATATTACTTTTCTCCATAGCAACATCATCTACCCCTGGAGGTATCACACCAGGAGCTTTCCCCACCGTGACAGTATCAGCAGTGGCTTTCAACTCACAGTTTTCTTTTTTGTGCCCATATCTCCCACACAGATAACAAATATCAGGGAGGCCTTCATATTCAATATTGTACCAAACTTGGTTGATCTGTGTAAATGCCTCAAGAGGCTTAGTCAAATCCAATTCAACACAAAGTCTAGCAAACTTCCCCCTATTTTGATCGGTTGTTAGGGAATCAATTTTTAACAATTTCCCCAACAAGTTACCAATTCTTTTAAGAGCCCAAACATCAAAGCATTCCAGTTGGATACCAGAGACACGAATCCAAGCAGCCATGTTTGTAATTTGAGCAGATACTGGGTTAAACCCGGGTCTCCACTTCTGTAGAATCAAGTATTGTCCCGCAATAATCCAAGGTCCTCCTGTCAGCACAAAATTAAGATCCTCCTCTAATTCAAACTTCACCACAAAATAGTCGTTTACCAGATCAACAAGCTTCCAGTTGCCTTTAAGTTGCCACTTTTGCTGTAAACGAGCTTGAAGGTAGTTATACGTGTGAGCCCTACCAAGTAGCTTGATGATCAAAGCGTTTTGCCATGGTTGACAGAGTCGATTCATAGCTCGCTTCGAAAATTGGATGCTAGGGCCACGTTCTTTCTTAGAGACGACAACATCCTCATCATCATTCAAATCCTCATAATCAGCAGCTAGGCAATTGACCTCGATACCCACATTCTTGGTAAGATTAACTTTGTTCATTAGTTTGTCTCTGAAGCTATGAGTCCCAAAAGGGGGGTTTGGTGTTGTAGTTACCTCAGGTTCAAGACCCATGGATATTTTTGAAGAGTCTTGCTGGAAAGTCTCCGTGTTGGACTCCTCCGTAGCGCGGCTTCTCTTGGGTAAGCGAGAATCCCCCGCAGTGCCCCCAAGTGATCCCTCCTCCATCAGGTAAATTGGCTCTGGATCCTCGCACCCAGAGCAATGAATTAGATCAGTCCCTGGAGACCACCCAAAGGCAGTGCCCAGGAAGAGGATGACGGTAGAGCCTTTCGGTTCTTTCGGGAGCTTTTTCGCACAGCTTACTGTAGCAACTCAGGTTTTCTTGATGTGATCCATTTGTAATTATAATGCGCTTTGTGAACAAAGAAAGAAGTTATAATTCCAGGCGTCTTTTTCTTAGTTTCTAAAGCCAAATTCTTTTTGGGTAATGGAGCCATTGGAGATGTTAGCTGTCCCAGGGCTGTTCAAACCGCAACTGGTATTCAAAGAACCAATCAAAGAACCAAAATCTATTCGCAAACTAGACAGGAGTTCGAAAAGCACATAATATGCACGACACTCTTGCTGCTCATCAAGCTTTTCATTTCATGTCCTTGTTGCAGGATTATCAAAAAATCTTGAACAAAAATACCAGCAACATCACTAGTACAATGAGACAATCTTTCAACAAAAATAAGTTGGGCATATTTGGATGCATGTTTACAGTTAATGTCTGATTTAACTTGATTGGAAATTATGAATTCAATAGACAAAGTACATGTGTGGAATGAAAGCATTAGATAAATCCAGCTTGCAACCAGTTTTGTTCATCTGCGGATAAATGCTGGATGCATCAATTGAGAAGAAAGGTATTGCCTTATGCAACTTAGAATGGAATCTCAGAAACTGCTGGCTCCTCAACACACCTCTTGATTACCAGACCATTGCCTGGAAATTTGGTTCGTATCGACAGCTGAACCTAGGGCTTACATAAACTACTTTGGAACTTCATTGCCTGAAAATTTAATATCGAATGTTGAGTGCTAAGAAAAATGATTTCAAAACAAAAAGAAAAAAAAATTCACACCCTGAATACTACAACATATACCCCGGAGATGCACAACAAAATTTGAATTGAACACAAAACGCAGATATATGAGCAGAAAATGCAAAGATATCATTCAACATTTAATGGATTTACATACTTTGGCTCCTCGTTAAGATCAGTGTGCCTCCTCTTTGGGTGATCCGCCTCTCCTCTTTGAGCTTCATGATCACCAACGTCGACGACGTTAGCACGATGATCATCATCAAGTGCCATGAAATCTGATAATCGAGGCCTCTTGCCAAGACTAGTCTCTGATGCTGAAGGCAAGGAAAGCAATTCGTAGTCTTGGTGTTGATCATCATGAATATCATCGTCCACTGCCATCGCATCAGGCAACAACCACTGCCTTTGCCCACTATCAACTGTGACATCAGCAACTTGGTGGCCTAATAGGTGGACCCCGCAGAGGATTTTAACGGGTGTGGGCATCCCATAGAACTCAAATATAATTTGACACATATTACCCTGCTGCAACTGCGTCAGTTCTTCCCCCACACGTAATGGAATAGAGTGATGCTCATGAGTTCGTACCTTGCTCAGATTCAATAATGGAATACACTCAAAAGCCACATGAGTTTCCTTTGGGAACATACCCGTCAATTGGACCATTTTTCTATCAATATGAACATATGCGTCAAGTTGGACCATTTTTCTATCACCAAATAACTTTCCTTTCTTAACGTCTGAGTTTCCTTTAATAACAACACATAGAACCAATCTTAACGTCTCCCAATCTAAATTTGGAGGAATTTCAAAACAAACTTCACATCGAGCTGAAATAAATTCGTCTTGAACTAGTGTTGCATCTTTACAACAGCTGAACTGTCTTTAACTAGTGTCGCATCTTTACAACAGCTGAACCACTTTGGTACTTCATCGCCTGGAAGAGTAATTGAAAATTCAGATTGCGGATGAGAAGATACCTACAATAGAATTGGTTACAACAATCATCATCTTAACCATATAACATAGAGGGAGAGACAAAGAGAGACACAGAGAGAGAAGAGACAGAAACCTGATCCAGAAACATATTTTCTGTGATGTCATAGCCATGTAGTCTAGCGCAATTGGTCAAACTCAGTTCCCTATCCTCAACCACCGATGATAGTGGCAGTTTTGGAATTTTCTCCAATGATGTGCAGTTATCCAGGTTTACAATACTTACTCTTGGTGAAAGCAGTTTTTGTGAAATTTCTAGAAGACCCCTGCAATCACTCAAGTAAAGCACGTGCAAGCTCACAAATTTTCCCGGAAGCGTGAAAAAATTGATTCCAGCTAGATGAACTACTAGTACTGTGGACGAGCAATAAAGCAGCCGTAATTCAAGTCCAGTAAGATTGAAGCACCCACGAAGATTCAAAACTTCAAGTCCAGTAAGATATGAAATTGATAGAGGCAATTCTCTTATGCCACTTTCTTGCATATCCAATCTCCGTAGTGATTCCATCTCGACTTCTATTTCTGGGAAACTCTCAAGCCTTTTGCAATTTGAAAGATCAAGTTCTCTAAGAGATTTCAATCTAAGTCTTGTTCCAAACCTCGTAAGCTTAACGCATCCATCGAGACATAATACAACAAGTTTATCAAGGAGTCCAATAGAATCATCAATCTGAACCAAACGTGTACAGTCACTTAGAATCAAGTACTCTATGTTTGGGATTCCGGATAAGTCTGGGATTTTTTCTAAGAATTGACAACCCCTCATATTCAAAGATGTCAGGTTTGGCAAATGCTGTGAGACAAGAACACAAAAACAAGAAATAATTAATCACACGCTTCAAAAGACAAAAACTTAGAAAACAATTTTCGTTTTTTTTCCTTCTGAAATTAACAACTGTATTTGAAATTATATATAATAGATTAAAATAATTTCAAATACATACCTTAAATCCCTCCAATTGTCTGATACGACTGCGAGGCATATTGAACACAACAAGACGCTCTCCAAGAAAATTGGGTGGCAAAGATTGTAACTGATATCGACCACAATCAATACATCTTAACGCGTTGGGTAGATAGTTAATGTGCCCACACAGAGATGCATTACGGTTTATGAAAATTTGAAGATTTACCATATTACGGAAGCATTCTGGATTCAAGGTTATCTCAGCTGGTTCTGGAAGCTTCACCATGATGCCTTTAATATTTCTTGTTCCCTGAGATGGAAAAGCATTAATTAGGAAATGAAGTCATTGTACAAACCAAAATGCAAGCACATTTTGTTAAGAAAATTATAGGTTACATAAATGATTCTTTCTTGTCAAATTGAATATAATAACATATATTATACTTACTGTATTTTCCGTTAGAACTAGCTTGACATCCTTGTAAAACCACAATCTACTACGCTTGCCAGGATCATTGGGGGATTCTTTGTGAACTATATCCTTGCCCAAGTTTGCTAGCAAGTCGTGCATTAAAATCCTATTGTCCCAATAGTCAATAGTTATCATTGCCTTATCAAGGAGTACCTCAATGCAATTTTGGGGGACTATTTGTAGCACATAGTTCTTCTTTTCACCCTTGAAGAAACATGCAATGTCGAGAAAAACTTCTTTTGCGTGAACATCCAAGGCATCATAACTTTTTTGAAGTATTCTTTCAATATGTGTATAAGGTTCTCCTTTGTAATCATCTAATATAACTTGCCAACGTCGTATTCCTCTATTACGAAGATGAGAACCTAAAATTGCTAGGGCTAGTGGAAGGCCATCAGCAAAAGCTATTGCACGTTGTGCGAGTTCCAAATAATCTTCTGGAGGTTCACTTCTTCCAAATGCATGCCAACTCAAAAGCTCAAGAGCTTGGTTGTAATATAACTTCTTCACCTTGTATATCAACTCAATTTCACGGTTGTCTAGCAATCCCCTATCTTTTGTAGTTATGATGACTCTACTACCCTCACCAAACCAACCATCTCCAGCCAAGTTTTCTAACTGCTCCAATTGGTCCACATCGTCAAGAATTAATAGAATCTTTTTATGCCCCAGCCGTTCTGTTATAACACCGATTCCTTCATCAACATTGCCAATTTTCAAATTTTTGCCTAGAAGCTTATCAAGAAGAGTCTCCTGGAGCTGGACTAAGCTTCCTTCTCTAACATTTGGCAAGAAACAACTTCCTTCAAACTTATGGGCAATTTCATTCCATATAGCTTTTGCAATTGTTGTCTTCCCTATTCCAGATGTCCCCCATATCCCAACCATGCGACGACCATTCCCACCAACATCTAAAAGCTTTTTCACATCTTGTACATGAGACCGAATTCCAACTGGGTACTTGGCCACATTCAAATATGTGCGGCCCAGTACTTTGCTTAAGATTTCATCAACGATGTTGTTGATAAATGTAGCTTCATACCTGCCAGTTTAACCAAATTCAACACATTTAAATATCCAACCACGCAAAAGAACATGACATACTGAAGTAACAATTAAATGTAACCAAAGTAACCAAAGCATTTCCACATCTTTTACAAAAGAATACTTTTCTTTAATGAGTAACAATTAAATGTAACCAAAGTAAAAAAGAAAAAGAAATTAAATTAACTTGAAAAAGATAGATAACCCTGAAATATAGAATCAAGACACTAAATTTAACATAATGCCCTACAACTATCGAAAATATAAAAATACAAAAATACAAAAATAAAATAAAAATAAAGATCTTCTCCCTACAATTTTATATTTTTACAAAAGGATACCTTTCTTTAATAATGAGTAACAATTAAATGTGTAACTAGAGAAAGAAGAGAGAAAAAATTAAACATGAAAATGATAAAGACAGAAATATACGTACTCTCCATCCTTGAGAGGATAACCGGACAATTTTGCTGCTTTTTTAAGAGCTTTCCTCCATATGAGCACTTTCTCCTTGTCATTCTTGAATTTCCTTTCAATAAGGCCTTTAAATGCATCTCCAAATCTATTTGTTTGGTTTCCCACATCCGACGGATCCACCTTGTAAAAAATGGGCAAAACTATTTGTTGGTTTGATTGTTTACATTGAAGGATCTTGACAAGTTCATCCAAGCACCACCTCGAAGATGCATAGTTTTCAGAGAATACAATGAGAGAAATTCTTGATTCTTCAATTGCTTTGACAAGGGCTGGCGATATTTCTTCTCCTCTTACAAGCTCTCCATCAATGAAGGTCCGGATTCCCTTACGGACTAAAGCCTCGTGCAAATGATCGGTAACCACCTCTAAAACTCAAAAACACATCATATGGAGAAGAAGAAGAAGAAGAAGAAGAGACTGGTTGAGTGGTCATAGATAGGAGGCAAATAATTAAAAGTAAAGAGAAGCTCAAAGAATTGGGTATGGCAGTGGTGCTCTGGTTAGATTTATGAGGGCTTGACGAAGCAGTTTCCTACCACCTTCCATGTGGAGGAGCTTTCGTTTCAACTTCAAGTCATCAACCGCTAAATTTTCTTTTTCATACTGACGCGGTCTTTAATCTGGTGAAGCATCTATAGGTGAGAGGCACTACCTTTCTTTACCTTTTCTTTGCTGAATAAATTGCTTTAAGATAGTGCACATGGCCAGTATTGCTAAATAGCAGATATGGGCCTACATTGCTTTAAGAGAGTGCACATGGTCAAACGGTGATATTTCTTTTTCTTTTTTCACTGACGCGCTTTCTTTCAAATAATGGTCTTTCTATCCAAAGATTCTGTTTTTTTGGTCTGAAAATAAAAAACTGAAACGAGTTTTATGGTTTGTTTTTTTCTTAAACTGGTCTAATAACAGCAATGTTGACGACTATCTATCTCTATGGTATTTAGTTATAGTCAGTTGAAGCAGTTTCTTTGTAATGCGAAGGTACCCACAATTTGTTGAAGTAAAGGGTAAGGAACCTTCAAGGCAACTTCTCGTCTTTTTTTCCCATATGTGTTTTCTTCCAATACAGGATGGAACGTCTACTTTTTGACTAAGAAATGAGGCTCTATATCTGGATTTTACATTTGACCCCCTAAATGTTTAATGTTGTAATTTAACTTATGTGCTAATTTTCCTTTTTATTCTTTTATTTTCTGTAAATGTATTTGGTGGAGAAGAAATGAGGCGGGTATTTAAACGAAAAATTGGGTTGAAAAACTTGAAATCTTATGCATTGGGCTAAAAAAATCCCCCAAAAACACAGCTATTGGATCGGCTGTAAATAAAGGGGAATGCTAGCAACCTTCTCTCTAACCTTCTCTTTTGAACCTTCTCCCTTATTCTCATGACATGTGGCATTTTACTTACACTTAAAACAATGCAATTAATGCATTAGAAAAATTAACTTTTGTTTCCCAATGTATCTTTATTAAATGTATCCTTGCTAATACAACCCAGCCATCCATGGCCAATACTCTCCCTTTCCATTTCTTTCTCTCTCTCTCTCTCTCTAGCCAACAACCCTTACCCCGCCGTTGATTTCCTTGGCTGCGTAACGAGCCGTAACCACCTCGCCTCGATTTTCGCCCTCTCCTCCACTCATCGCGTTAATCTCCAATAGCAACCCCGTCGATCTTCACAACGAAGACGACTCCCACCCACGCCGATCTTCCCCCACCACCGCGGCGTCGATCCCTGCCATCCACTTCTTCTTCCCGTCCCCTGTGGTTGGGTTATGGGTTGTTTTATCGATTTTTTCATATTTCCTTCTTAATGTGTTAATTATTCAATTTCTTAAAACTAATCTTTAAAAAAAATGAAATTAGGTGTTTGTTAAACGATTTGATATTTTTTATTCATTGGTTTTTGAAAAATATATATATAATAAAACAATACACAAAAGATAATATATTTAATAAGGTTAAATTTGGAAAACAAAATGTAGCTTGTGTGATGCATTAATAATATTATTTTGAAAGAAAGTAAAGTGCCACATGTCATGAAGAAAATGGAGAAGGTCCAAAGGAGAAGGTTAGAGAGAAGGTTGCTAGTATTCCCGTAAATAAAAGGGAAAGCATTAAAAGAAAAAAATATCTAAAGCTACCGTTCGATTTTGGAAAAAAAAAAAAAAACAATAACATGATGGAACTGAGAAATGGATGGTCTTTAAGTTAGCGAAGAATATAATATTGTATATAATATTGGAAAATTTTCTTGGTGTCAGCTACAATCGCATCATAACTTCTCATAATACTTCATAGGCCATATATGTCAATGCATCATAAATTATTCCGTGTTGAAGATTCTTTCATCAAGAACGACATTCTACTGATAATACTTATATTTGATTTAATCAATTTCCTGTTGATATGGACTTCATAATGAATAACTTTGATTTATATAGTTTTCAAATCCGTCGCAGATCTTGGTTGAAACTTTTACTTCTTAAAAATAAAAATAAAAAATTATATAAGTTTTTTTTTTTTTAGTATCTTCTTGACTATATAGTGTATTCGTCAATGATCTATATTTTCATTAGAGCATCCGCAATGGCTGTTCAATAATTTAATACAATATTAGTTTAATAAATTGAACTATTTTGGCATATATTAAATTGAACTGCAGTTTTTCTTGCAATGATACAATTCAATAGCTTCAATTTATTGTCATGTGGGTCTCATGGTTAGCCTATTGCAATTCAATAGAGGGCTCATCACATAGCACCCTCTATTGCAATTGCATCTATTGCAATGAACTAAATCAAACTATTGAAGTTGATGAAAACATTTTATTTGGAATTGATGAATGAATGGGTCAAAACAAAATCTAAGAACTGCATAGATGAAAACAAATGCAAATCTGGCAATTTTCATTTTATTCTAAGTACAATAAAGAATTCAGAAAACTGTAGTGAAACTATGAGATAACATAACAATGTTCACAAGTAGAAATGCTTTAGATTTTGAACTTTTATATTCAAGTTTGAATCGACATCATTTATTTATCTTGAATGTTAAACTTTTAGTTAAAGACAATTTTGCTGCTTTTTAAAGAGCTTTCCTCCATATGAGCACTTTCTCCTTGTCATTCTTGAATTTCCTTTCAATAAGGCCTTTAAATGCATCACCATAACTACTTCTTTGGTGTCGTACATCTGAGGGATCCACCTTGTAAAAAATGGGCAAAACTATTTGTTGGTTTGATTGTTTACATTGAAGGATCTTGATAAGTTCATCCAAGCACCACCTCGAAGATGCATAGTTTTCAGAGAATACAATGAGAGAAATTCTTGATTCTTCAATTGCTTTGACAAGGGCTGGCGATATTTCTTCTCCTCTTACAAGCTCTCCATCAATGAAGGTCCGGATTCCCTTACGGACTAAAGCCTCGTGCAAATGATCGGTAAAATTGGTGCGTGTATCCTCACCTCTAAAACTCAAAAACACATCATACACTACTACAAAAAGGGCAAAAGACGACCAGTAAACAACGACGGTAGATCAAAAAACCGTCGTTGTTTTTTAAAAGACGACGGTAATAGAAACCCGTCGTAGAAACATACTTTAAACACCTAAAAAACGGCACACGTATAGATATTTTGAAACCACGACGCACCAAATTAAAAAAGCGTCGTCTTATTACAAAGGTATTTTCAGAGTTAAAATCTGAACCTAAAAACAACGACTGCATCTATGAAATCACCGCCGTAGAAAGTAAAG